CGCGTTTAGAGGCTAAAGGGATAAAGTCGCCTAAAATATCGCGACGCGATGTTTTGATGCGCGCGAATAAAATCCGTCGTAATCCCGCGGACGATAACTGTCGTTGAGCGCATTGGCGCGTATCTCTGCGAGAGAAGCGCGGGACATTATTCTATTCTCTCTAATGCGATCAAGCCGCGTACGAGTACGCGCCGATTGCCAATTGTTTCTCCATTTCAGGAAACTCTCGTATCCAGTCTGTACGGGGTCAAGGGTCGTCGACCTCGTGTCCAGAAAGCCCCGGGTACGTACGTGTCGCTGGTAGACGCTGGTCAGCGACGGTCATTATGTTAACTGGCAATCACGGTAATGCTGTCATCAGCGTCCGTACTAACGGCAATAACTATAATGCGGCCATTGTGGGCACTCCCGTGTAATCCGGGCGACTTTTCATTGACCACTACCGGGTGTATCCAGAGCGCGTTACGGAATTTACTTACCCGGAATCGATCGCGCGCACGCAAATTCAACATTTCCAACTTGAATATGAAAAATCCGTCAAATTAATTATCATTACGTAATTATTATTTAAAAAATGCTTGGAACGATAAAATAGTTTGAAAGATAATTCCGCGATAATACAAAGTCACGCTTCAGCTTTTGGCATTCGATGGAAATTTTCTTTACGATCCAAAATATTAACGCATCCTCCGAAACTTTCAAGCAAGAATGTAGCAAAATCGGTGCGAATCGGCGCAAGATATACAGAAATGCACGCGGCAAAGACTCACCGAGCCGATGACATTTGCGCTTCTCGCTCGATGCACGCCACGTCCGCGGCTTCCCCATCGCCATCATTATCACTCGCGCGATGCATCCCGCCGAGCTCTCCATAGGTCGCGTAACTGTTTTCCTTCTTTCGGCGGACATCGACAGGAGCGGGTGAGAAGACAAAAATACTGTTATACTCGTCCGCCATTAGACAACGTTAGCGGGCGGGCGGGAGTTGTGGACGCGCGCGGCATAAAAGGCGCGATCGTGACGACGTGGATTAATCGGCTCGACACCTGTAATTAGTTCACGTTAAGTCGCGGGCGCGTCCTAACGATTACTAATGAGACATCTAACGTGAAATTAATTTTCAAACGGCGTAGTTTTCTTTCGAAGAAAGTCTCTCCGATACAATTATTTCTTCCCCTTTGAGAAATTGTTACATCGCGTCTCGTCCCGTTGCCTTCTCGCTTTTTCGATTCGCATGATGTTCTCTTTAGATGCGTGTGTGTGTGTATGTGACGTCATTTCTCGCTAGAATAAATACGCGCCCGCTTGCGTGCGAAATTGTGCATTCGTCGACTTTCAATTTGGCATTTTAATCGCGCGATTATGGAATATGAAAATTATATCTTTTAAATCGCATTGCATTTGCGATACATTCGATGGAGTTATTACAGCGAGAAAAACTATTTTTCAATATCATTTAAACGCAGATATTTTTATAGACGATAAAATTCGCGCACTTTCAGGAGCCGGGATAAGGGATTGTAACGAGAGGTGCGTTTCTAGCCGCGCTACCGTTGCCAAATAACGCACGCCGGACACGCGCGCGCGCGCGAGCGATAGAAAGGCACATCGCTTCCGGCAGTGGGACTGATCGCATCCGGTGATGGGCCGCGCGTATTACGTACGATCGCAACGTGTTACGAATAGCGGCGCAAACCTTTTAAAGTGACCACCATCACGGCGGGAAGCGTCTTTACGACTGCATACGGGAGAAAGAGAGAGAGAGAGAGAGAGAGAGAGAGAGAGAGAGAGAGAGAGAGAGAGAGGCAATTTTTCATTGTTATCTTAAACACGTTGACAATTTTATTGCACGACACTGATCGCCGATTTAACGATGAAAATTGAAAAGACGGATGGCGCGCTCAGAGACGTGAAACTTTTACTGACAAAGATTTTCCGGATTCACTCTCGATGCGAGTACCAATATTAATGCGTCGAATCGATCCGATTCGCGCCGTTGGCGATCATTCGAGACGATTAGTCGTTTAATCGCTTAGATATTTACGCGCGGTGCGCGAACATCCGAAGGTTACGAGCTTATTTCCATCCCGAAATACGGTCGCGCGAGTCGCAGCTGCGACTGCTTTGCAAGCTCGCTGCAAATAAAAGTACCGAGAGCGGAGGATTCTTCCGTCCGTCGTTTCGAGTAAATTGTTGCGACGCGAGAGTACAGCGTTTTAAACTACTATCGTTCCCACCCTGAAGTATGTAGCGCGGGTCAAAATATAGCAGCGTGTTTCGGTAATGCAATGCGCGCGTGTCGTCACGCTCGCCCTCCAGTCAAATTAATCATCGTTAAGAGTTCCGCCAACGATGACGGCTCCTCGAACGTGCGGCGATGTTCTTGAATCGTAAATGAAATTGAGCAAGAATCCTAAATTCCGGCGACTCGGCCATTTCGATTTTATTGCGGCCTCTATTACAAGGTGCACGAAGCATGTCAAACGATACAATGTAGATAGACGGAATAATCTATTCTGCCCCCTCGTCCCCCCTTTTTGGAATAACATTGTAGTATATATTACAGCTTTGTGCCTTGACCTCCTACAGCTTTGAGTGTATATATTACAGCTTTGTACTTCCTTGACTCTATTTCATATTAAGAAATTTTTTATTATTAAACTGTAAACTAGTAAATCTTTGCGTGAAACTTGTTATCGCGGTATATTTACGTGCGGTATACGATTAATAAAAAGACTTATCGGTTTATCTATATTTCTCTTTTCGAGTTTGAAAGGTACCATCCGTATCGAACGCGGCCAGTGTTCTTTTGTAATTGAAATATATCCTTCATAAATACGTTGAACTTGAAATCCTTGAGGATCCTAGAGAATTCTCCACGATCCTACCGAGACTTTACGCAAACGAAGAGAGCATTTGTCATCGGAAATCATCCTCTCCTCTTTTCCAAGACAATTATCAAAATTAAATAAAGCGACGATCAATTTAATTTCTTTTCTGCACCTTTCAAAACATACTTTTTACGCGCTGATTCGATCATTTTTTTAATTAATTGGAATAATTATCATGGTATGAGCGGTAAAATATCTGAATATTATTAAATTTGTGCAATCATTCTATTTGTGTATTTCTCTCATGTAAAAGTTATCTTTTTTACGCTCGTGTATTATAAGAAATAAGCTATTAAATAATAGTTGCGTTTTTTGTAAGTTAAATAGAGGATGGTTATATTTTTACAATAAATCCATTATTCTTACGGAAAAAGTAATATGCATTTCGAAAATTAATAACATCGCGTATTTATACTCGAAACATTATTTCCAATAATTTGAAATATGCCACTTTGCGATATCTCGTTCGCGCCGATGCTCGGAAATGGTCTCGATACACGCGGCCCGTGGCTTTCGCTCTTTCAGGTCTCCCGCGGTTCTCATCGTAAAAAGTTAAATTTAATCTTTCGCTACCACACACACCACCGCGCGGAGCCGCGAGGCTTTACGATTCCCTCCGGCCATTCGATTTAGCGCTTTACGAGCGTTCGGCGGTCGGCGCGATGCGCCCTGCGGCCAGCCCGGTCTCTCCCGCGCGCTTTGCAAAAACGTAGACACCGCCGAATCGTTGCCTTTACCGACCCGCGAGAGCGATCCCTCTTTTTCTCGGACTTTACCAGGTCCGTCCGAAGAATCGCTTCGTTATCGCGAAACATTGTCGACGGAGATTCGAACCAACACGTCGCGGATGCGAAGTAAACCGGTTTCGAACGCATGTCAACCGAGCACTCGTCTTCTATAATCTTCGCCGTGCACCTTCGTCGCATTATCTTCGATAGAGAGGTCTTCCCCGAAACGATCCCGATTTCGGTTACATGAGACATTACGATATCTAGAAACGATACATCAGTCTCCATTGATTTATAACACGATCCCGAGCGCCATTGATAAAATAAATTGATGATTACTCGAAGTGCTATTCTATATCTATCTACTTCCAGCGTGTCCATTCTTTTTTTCACGCACGTTATTTATTCACTTGCCTCGACCTCCGCCCCTTCCACTCTCACATCTAATATATCTTCTTTTTAGCTATTTTCAGATCCCTGTGTGATTATGTTTTGTACAATTTCTATGCTTTTTAAAAAAATAAATAGAACGGCATGCTAACGTGACCGTTACTAACGAAATTCATGGCCTAAATTACGGCAATCGAGCCGACGCGCTATTATTATAACGTCCCGCAGGTCGCACGCGGGAAGGAAAACGATGAAATTATTTCAATAAAGCGTAATCGGAACCGGCATTTAGGACAGGCTCTTCTGATCGATGATACTTTGCATCCGATGATCAATCATTGGCAGGATAATGAGCATGAGAACCTTAAATTCCCCAACGTTCTCTTTTACAGATTTATAATAGCAAAAAACATATTTCAAATATAAACTTTTTTTCCACTGAAAATAATTATTTATTAAAAACGTTAAAATTGAAATGGAAGCAATTTTAAACGATTGATAAATTTTTTTAAGATATTAGGTGTCAGAGATTCTCATTCCAAAAAATATTTAAAGTTTTGCATTATTTTTTTTATATTTTAAATGTTTTTATATAATAATAGAGAAAAAAAATAGAGCTAATGTATTTTAATTTTCTAATTTCAATACTATTTTTTTGTTCCCTTTTTATATTTATCGTCGTCGTAATGTACTTTGTTGACCTTATTTTTTATTTCTATTCTCGTCCTCGTTTCTCTCCCTCTTTTTTTCTTCGCGATGCGCTTTTTGAGGAACGAAACGTCGCGTGCCAGTCTCATATTAATCGTATCTCGCATGTTCCACGATTTTATGGTTCTATTTAATTATAAATACAATTGATAAATAAAGTAAATAATTATTGCGGAAATAGATTCGATCGAGAATTAATTAACTCGGTGTTTCGGATTAACGAACAGACGGACGGGCGATTATTGGCGCAAAATAATATTTGGACAGAAAATATATTGCTCACCTCTACTCTCTGTTACAGCACCCTCCCTGTAGAAGCCAGACGTATTTTCGTCGCCTTACATTCCTACGCATCCCCTTCTCGACTCCTTCATCCTCTTCCTTTTGCTTCCACCCCCTGCCCTCTTCTCTTTTTCTGTTAGCTCGCGCTCTGCCTCTGACTCTCGTCGCTGTTCGCCGTTACGCTGTTAAACGAGCGGATCGTCAGTAGCTATCGGCGCATCTGGAAAGAATAAAGTACACGTTATATACGAAGGGGTAAGCGAGCGGCGTTGCAAGCCGGGCAACGTAGACTGCATAAGTAATAGAGCCCGAGGGAGGCGGCTATTCGCCAAGATTGCTCGCTAGAAAGAGAGAAGGACTCCGGAGATTCAAAATCCATTACGTTCTTCTTCCACGATGCTCGCTTTCAATATCTTTGCGAGACACAATCTGTCGCGATCGACTCAAATTTCTCATACGAGCAAAAAGAACGTCGGTTTGCAAAGTTTAATTCATTACCCGCATTAGTTCAATCGAGAAGTAGCATAGAGAAAAGTTTTATATATGAAATTTACTTTTATTACACATAAAAGTTAACTTCATCAGGGAACCACAAACGACGCGTATCATGCGTGACGGAGATAAAATCGGATTTTATATAAGCGGCTGCGTGAATTAACCGCCGCGAGATGCGCAATTACATCCAATTTTCGTTAATGACTGTATTTCGAACAACACCTTTTTGCATTATTATACATTATACAAGATATACAAGTGAGATATTTTGCCACACGCGTCAGCGAAACATTATAAATATAGTTGGCATAAACATATATGTTGATATTTTTTTTATTTTTAATGTGGAAAAAAGTTTAAATATCTAAGAAAATAATAATTATGCGTTATATCAATTATAATAACCCTTATACAGCTTTTGATATCAATTTTGAAGATCCAACAGCTGATGCTCTTCAGCACAAATATTAAAAATATATTAACATCTTATTATTTTTAATAAAAAGAATAAGAGAAAAAAAAATAATATGTGTGTATTTTAAATCTTCATTTTAAAACCGACGCTTGAAATTTTGAGATTTAAATGTTTCTTATCAATATACATGTAGCAGCGCGAAATGTACATACACGATGACAAAAGAGATAAAAGATAATCACCATGACTGCTAATAATTATCCAGAAATGGATTAATTATACATGTATAAATGATGTTGCGTATATATAAATAATATTTTGCGTGTAATATTAATTCGATAGATTTTTATCTCTACTGTAAAATATTCAACAAAACAAACTTAAATTATTAAATCGAATAAAGAGATCAAGATAGTGTGTTTCAACTTTTTTTTGCTATGCTATTTTTATTAAATGAAGTATTTTTATTCAATGGAACGCGTAACATTAGATGCCATCAAGTAAGCGTGATTTACGACAAATTACAAAAATAGAAAATCCGAGTCCAGAGTGATAAGGATTCTTAAAGTCTCAGGCCTCTCTCGGCAAATTAGAGCGATACGACTCGCAGAAGCGGACTCCAACAACTATCGTATATTAACGTCAAGAGACATAATGAGGCTTCACGGTGCACTTTGCCGATGCAAATCGTGGGTTACGTCGATTTATGAGAGGCGGAGAGTAATTTCCACCGTATTAGTCGCTACGCAGCGCGTTCTTTAGGCGGCCCCCTACATACGCCTTTGTAAAGAACGCAACGCGGCCGCTTTGCGTGTGTTTTAACCACAGCGCGGTAGAAGATCGCCTTAACGAGTGGAATTATGTTTCCAACTAGCGGGAGGAGAAACGAGCTTACGAAGTAACGTAACACGCCAATTCCACGAATCGGATGCGTACGGATATCCGATTGCTTCGGAATTACATCTGGATGCTTTATTATACTAGGCTTTTACTTTGTTACCGCGAAATAATCAATCAGATGATCGTTTAAGAAAATAAACTCATCAGATATTATCGTTTAAGAAAATAAACTCGGAACGAACAAATATGTTTGCGACACTCGAGAGTATATGACATATATTTCGCGATGCTTGTTTCCATGCATTATTCATGAATGCTCCATCTTCCTTCGGGAAATGCGTCAGATAGTAATTAAGCTATTATCGAAGTATATTAAGGACAGATAAACGGAAATGGCAGCCATTAATAAGAAATTGTTTAAGTGGCGGTTACATCGGCCGCCATCCTTGATAATGAAAACAATTAAAAAAAGATTAAAAAAGATTTCGGCGAGAGAAGAAAATGTAGCGGAAAATGTGTAATTATTAATTTATTAAATTCAATGAAATAATATGAATCCACAAACAACTGTTTATCCGTGCCGATTAATAAACGATGATGCTAATCGATTACGGCGAAGTAAATAACGAATCAAAGATGTATATCGATCGGTTATCTCTTGTTGCAAGTTTTTCCTTCACGCGGATGCACCTGCAATCGTTTCGCTAAATGCGCTCGTGTATTAATGCGAGCAACGCGTTGCAGAAAATTATGTTAATCGGATGACAGAAGGAAGTTGTTTACTTCTTAAAGACACGATCGAAAACGCTTTGTAAAGCAATATCGCGGGCAATATCGTGAGAATCTTATATCATCTTATCGGCGATAATGAGCCGATAAAATATATTTCGCGAGTAACCCGATCTTGTAACCGATCCTCAATCTGATGCGAGTCTCCGCGATGAGAATCGTAACAACCCTCGCAAATAACATCAAGTTAATTAAACATCGCGTCGAACGGAAATAAGAATGGCCGCGCGTGATGTATAATGCGAGCAATTTTTTAAACTGCGAGGTGGAATATGATTATTTCGGGGAATGATCAGCATTACCGGAACGGATATCATAAATTCCACGCCATTCCACGCGGTTCCATCGCTCTCGCGCGTTACACAACCGAGGTGAACGTCTCTCTTTCGTTTATCTTATTCGATTTATCTCCGCGTGTACAAGAGTAGCGTACACACAAGTTTGTAGCGCGGACCATCGGTGTTCTCCTCCGAAAATTGATAATTTTTCGCGGGCCATTTATAAGACGCTACTTCCTTTAAGCGCTCGCGCCAGCGACAGTCGCGATAATAAAGTGCCCCGCGTTTAAACGCGAGCACATTGTCGTCGTTAAGCCACGAATCGAGAATGATAATTCACTTTGCGCGATTCGAGTAATTCACGGATCGTAAATTTTTCCGGGAACGGTTTATCGACGGGAATGTTCAGTATGGTAATTTACATCGCCGTATATTCATGGATATTCGATGGATATTCGCAGTTTCTCCAACGACAAAGTCGAGACGCAAATTGTGGATCTCTGTTGGAGTAGCGACTGTAGGAAATGAAAGAGAAAACCAGTCACACCCACGAGTTCCGTTATATTTGAATTACCGGCAACACACGGGGATTTCTAATATATCTAAACATAAAAATGTCAAGAAAAAATGATGAGTAACTTTGCTATCCTCCGATTCCACGCTCCAGCATGAAAGATTGCGCGTCGCGAGGTGATATATTTAATATCTCTGGCACTTGATGCAGACTTTGGAATAAATAATACATCTCGCCTCTCTGCGGACGGAATATATAATTATAATATTTTCCGATACGCGTACTCTCCTTCTATACATAGCGACGGACAAAGTTCGCAGCGAGAACTCAAGTACCGGACGCGAACGTAAATCTAGAGTGCCCGACTCGCGGTCGACCCACTCTAAATACGCCAGTAAAATATACGCCAACGATAATTTATTTTCCGCCAAGTCATCCGGAGATCACGTTCGTACAACCCGTTCGCGCGTAATATTCCGGTAATAGCGGTTACGTATCTATATTACAAGTTTGTATTAATCAAGGTGATAATGTTTATTCAACATTGGTTTAATATGATTAAATTTATGACAATCTCGAGAGCGCTCGGATAGATTTAATAAATAAAAGAATTAATATTTTTGATTTATCGAGATTGCAATTTGCAGCCTGCATCTGTTGCCAGCGTAATGTGAAAATACTCGTCTCGCGATTCCAGTGTGATGATAACCAGTCGAGAAAGCAGTTGCATATCTACAAGGAGAGTAGAAATCTCGCCGTGCAACATCTTTGCCGCGCAATCGCTATGTAGGAAAGACGCATTCTTGATTATTCGCCTCGTATGAGAATCTGAGAATGCAAATTACCTAAGGATGTTTTGTACCTATTTTCGAAATATTGAGAATTTAATGAAAATTATACAGAATGTCCTTACATATGTTTAAAATCTTCGGTACAATTTTTAAATCGATTCGCTAAAGCGTTGACAAGTTATAAGGATTTTAATTTGCACTGAATTAATGTGTGTTCTTGTGGGAAACGTATAACCACGTCGATTCAAATGACAAAAACACGTGGAAATAATATTCAGAATTTGTTGAAAATTTGCAAAAGTTTAGATACAGAGGAAATATTTGGTCAAATAATATTATACAAGTACTAACTGATTAAAAAGATATTAAATATAATTCAATAAAGTTAGCCATGTATCTGTCACAAGGCGAAATTCTCTGGCAAAAGTTAATCATTTCGATTAACAAAATTCGGAATATTTCAGGAATATTTCCACACAATTTCTTACTCAAAATACACCAAAAGTGGATATATTCGTCATATTGATTTTCAGCTACTTTTTGCTGGGATTGTATGTACATACAAAACATTCTTAACATCCTACTTCTCCGAGCGCGTACATACGCACTTGTTATTATACGAGTATATTCCAAAATTGAAATGTGTAACTGTTAAAATGTTAATACAGGTGGTATCCGTTGATCTCGCGCGAATCAATTTTATTATTCATTTCGAAAAGGTCTCTCTTTTGATCTCGTAGCGCGCATCAAGGATTTCTGGATGGATTAATGCCAGAAATCATTACGCATCTGGCGTGGGGCAAATGGACGTACTTTGTCCGTCGAAAGTCACAATCATTTGTGCGTTGTTCGCATGGGTCATCGCGAATCTTTAATATTTATTTTCGTCATCCTCTCTTAATTAACGTCGACGATCGATCGTACGACAGCTGCGATTTCGCTGTAATAAAGTCCGCCAAGACGCGCATTACGCAGAATTATTATTATTATTATCCATTCTCTAGCCTTAATCGAGATGTAAAGAGGAATAAGGTAAGAGTAGCACATTATACAAACAAAAAGATGGAGCATAATAGAGTTTTGACGAAAAAAAATATG